CATTACCTACAATGTTACGAGAGTGCAGGGAACTGCTCCTGCTGGCAGGTGACTTGCATACTGCCCACGGTTCATTGTGCAAAAATGTTCTTAACTCCAATAGCTTTAATTCTGTTTTCATTTTTGTATACAGTATGTAGGTAAGAAACACGGATCCACCCTGTACTGCTAAGGAGACATGATTAACAAAAGAGAAAAGAGAAATGCACAAAATGCCTAATCCTCTAGAATGACAACCATTTTGCCCATTTTCCTTCCTGGAAGAAGATGTCTTTCCCACCCCTAAAGGAGTTATACAACAAAAGAAAGAATAAGCAGTCAAAGGGCATTGCGTTAATTTCCATACAACTGCACATATTTTAAAATCATTTGATAGAATACCTCCACTTCAATGATGTCATCCAACGACCCCAACAAAAGAATTATTTCAATGTCTTGAACTCTGCAATTAAGCAGCAGGTTATGTTTCTCTAATTGTTTCTTTTCCAGAGAAGTCTGCATGCTTACAACTTCTTTTTGCAACTTTCCCACTTCCCTATAAATACACAGATATGAAAGTGATTTTACTCATTGTGTAAAGTAGCACCAAGGAAGAAAAATGTATGTTATAAACTTCCATGAAAAAATATTTTTTCCTATTAGTGCTAGAAGCTCTAGAGTTTCTCATTGATGATACTAATTTACAAACTAACACTCCTGCAAAAGGCAATAAATGTAATTAGTTAATCCAAGGGAACATTTTTCAATAATACACATTACTGCTTTAATCGGGGTTAACAAATATACAGTGCTTTCCTAGTTACTTTATTTTAAAATCTGTATAATTTTTCAAGCTGCATTTCTCCCTTAAATATAAGCTCGACCTTTTATAATCTCACACCAAGGGAAATAGTCTCTTAGCAAGAAAAATGTCTTACCAATTTAGTTATTACACAGCTAATAATCTGAAGTTTCTTTACCACCACCACCACTAATGTAAGGCCTTCTATCTGAAAATAAGGGCTTGGGATTTACCAGCTGAAACAATGAAGGATTTTAAAGGGACCTAGAAAGAGGACTGGGTGGAGGAGAGCGAGGGAGGGAGGAAGAAGGAAGGAAAGACTATGGTTTTCAAGAATAGGAAAACGAACAAATGAGTTTGTTTAAACTAAATACAAGAGTAAAAAAATCAAGAGTAAACAGACTTTAATTCTACTCAAGAATCTTTGACAAAGAATTTTCTGAAACCCTGAAGATCTTTGGACAGTGAGGAAAATTGTGAAATGCCGTGAAGCTGAGCCAAAACAGAGCCATTTCATCTGATCACCCACGGTCGTGTCCATCCTACAGGAAAGCAGATGTGATTCTGGTTCAACATGCCAGCCGATTCAAAGTGCCATCGCGATCATGGCTAATGTATGTTCATCGTGTTCCAGGCACTATTCTAAGTGCCATATGAATATTAACTCATTTAATCCTCACAGCATTCTATGAGGTAGGCACTATTATTATCCCATTTTACTGATGAGGAAAGTAAGGCATAGTATGCAAGTAGCAGAGCTGGGACGTGACACCAGGCAGTGTGGCTCTACATTCTACTCTCTGACCCTGGGTGCTGTGTTGCACAGACTACAGGGAATCTCTGTACAGCAGGAAGATACCAGTATCAAGAGGGATTGAAGGTAAGGGACTCTATACAGGTTCATGTTTTCATCCACCAAAAAGGATTATTTACTCTAAACAACTAACCACCCCTCTTCATTTTCCCCCAAATTAGAATATTGGGGCTGGCTGGTTAGCTCAGTTGGTCAGAGCACGGTGTTATAAAACCAAAGGGTTTGGATCCCCATTCCAGCCAGATGCCAAAAAAAACCAAACCCAGAATGTTTGAAATTTCATATCGATGGTATGCATGTTTAGAACTCTGGCTAGGTCTTTGCAATTGATGAATTCTTAATTACCTTTCAACAGCCAAAAACTTCTTCTGTTCCTCTTCAAGTTGAGTTTCAACTTTGTCAATGTTGGAATTCTGAGTGACAAGTATGTCTGTAAGTTGCTGCCGCTTTGCCATGAGTTCAGCCACGATTTGCAGACAGTTTTCTTCAGTCTGAATGGAGAGGAATTGCATTGTAGATTTACTATCTTTTATGTGAATAAGGTCAATAGATTACCGTATTACCAATAAAACCAAACCATTCGTTCCACGATAAGTCTCCTTATTCTGTGTGCTGCTTGAACCTCTATCACAGATTGTGCCACACTCTCATTCTACACTTTTGGAAACTGGTAATCACTACCTGCCTTCATCCTTCATTTGGATTCATTCCTCAGCTCACTGCTATTTGACTTCTGTTCCCATTGTCCAGTGAAAGTGGTCGTCATAACCTCTAATACGAAATTAAACAGACATTTTCCTGACTGTACCTTTTTGACACCCTTCATCACATCCTCCCTTCTGAAACTCTGGGGCTTCTATGATACTACCTCTTCTGGCTCTCCTCATAACCTAACTGGTCACCTTCCAGAATCCCATCGTTGTTCCACTGCTCTGCACTACCTACCTCCCTGCTTGGGAGTCTCAACCATTCTCATATGGTTTCAATTTACTCTCATAACCAGCAACTCCCAAATCTGTATCTCCAGCCTAGACTTCTCCCCTTATCTACGTACTCTTTAACTACCTGCTGGAAATTGCTATCTAGATGTTACAAAGGGAATTCAAGCTCCAAGGGTCCAGAATTTTCTCTCCTTAACCTGAATCTACCATCACCAATCATCCAGGTTAGAACTTAGCAGTCATTGGTAGCATCCCCTTTGCCTTTTCTCCCACTTCGACATCCAATAATTCATGAAGCTCTGCTGATTTTAAGTTTTCGCAAATCTGCCCCCCACTCCTTCTATCACTATTAGGACACTTCAGGAGCTCAACATGTTTATTCAAGGAAGGATGTTATAATTTCCATAGAGAGGCACTTCAGCCACCCATTATTACCTTCTTTAGGTTATCGATGTCTTCTCTAGCTTTCTGGATAGTTTCTTTTAATGTGTTGGTGTTTTTCAGTTTCTCCTTAAGCTGATTGCGACTATATTCCAGTTGAATATTAAGCCGAGATTTTTGTTTTTCAAATTCTAATCTAGTATAATAAAGTCAAGCATTATAAATGGTAAGCAGAGTACATTGATTTTTTAACTTTTTCTTATGGAATTTTCAAAACAATACAAAATTGGGAGGAAAAGTATAATGAACCCCCTTGTAGCTCTCACTGAACTATAATAATTATCAATTCTTGCTCAATCTTGTTTCATCTTTAACCACACTCACTGCCCCTTCCCACTAGGCCTCATGTAATTTCAAATCTGTAAATATTTTCATATGTATCTCTGAAAGTGAAATAAATTTTAATTCATAACCATAAACTATTACAGATAAAAAAGAGAATAATCACCCAGAGTCACAGAAAAAAAAAAAATCACAAGAGATATTAGAGATTATTTTGAACAGAATGAAAATAAAAAGGCAACATACCAAAATTTGTGGGATACGGCTTAAACAGTACTTACAAGGAAATAAATAGCTTGCAATGCTTATATTAGAAGAGAAATCTAAAATACATAATGTAAACTTTCATCTTAAAAAGCCAGAAAAGGGGGCCGGCCCGGTGGCGCACTTGGTAGAGTTCGGAGCTTGGGAGCGCGGTGGTGCTCCCACCGAGGGTTCGGATCCCATATAGAGACCGGTCCGCTCACTGGTTGAGCGCGGTGCAGACGCGACACCGAGGGTTGCCATCCTGTTACCGGTCACGAAAAAAGACAAAAAGGAAAAAAAAAAGCCAGAAAAGGAGTAAATGGAAACAAAATAAGTAGTAGGAAGGAAACATTCAACAGCAGAAATCAATAACATAGAAACAGACAAAGCATAGAGAAATCAATAGGACCACGACCTGTTCTTATAAAGGATCAATAAAACTGATACACTTCTAGCTAGATATGAGGAAGACAGGACAAATCACCAATATCTGAAATGAAAGCACATCAGTATAGACCTTGAAGACTTTAAAAAGGATAGAAAATATTGTGAATAACTTCGTTTATAAGTCTGACAACTCATAAAATGCGCAAGTTCCTTGAAAAACACAAACTACCAAAGCTCACCAATGGAAAAAAAAAATAACTAGAATTGTTCTATGTCTTATGAAGGAAACTGGAAATTAGTAATTAAAAAGCTTTCCGGTATTGCCTGTACTATATTGTTTATTTCTTTAAATCAGTCACTTTTAAAATTCAAGAAATCTTATTTTTAACAGGAGATTCTCATTTATTATTATTAATGGAATATTTCGTTTTAAAAGAAAACATTTACTGTTATAAATTAAAAACAGTATATCATTTGACATAAATTGGAAATGCTAGTAACATTAAAAACTGTAAAAAGCAAACAAAACCACAAGTCTTCCCACAAAAAAGGTGAATGGCTTTGGTTGCCTCATTTGCAAATTTTACTAAACATTTAGGGAAGAAACAATATCAATTCTAAAGAAACTCCTCCAGAAAAAAGAAGAGGAGAGAACAATTCCCAGCTCATTTTATGGGTCTGGCATTACAATAATAACAAAACATGACAAAGACATTACAAGAAAACTACAGATGAGTGCACTCATAAACACAGACGTAAAACTCCATAACAAAACTTTAACAAGTCAAACCCAAAAAACATATGAAAAAGATCATGACCAATTTGGTTCACCCCAGGTATGGAAGGTGTATTAATATTCCAAAATCAATCAATATAATGTACTATTATATGTATTTACTATTAATGAACTAAAAGAAACCCAACCCAACCATACAATCATCTCAATAGGTACCGGAAAGAGTATTTGACAAAATACACTCATTTATGAAAAAATGTCTGTAAAGTAAGAATGGAAGATAGCTTCCTTAATCTGATAAAGGGCATTCTGAAGTTCATATACCTAATCATGAAAGACTGAATGCTTTTCCGCTAAGACTGGGAATGAGGCGGGATGTCTGTTCACACCACTTTTATTCAACATTGTACTAGAGTCCTAGCAAGTACAATTAGGCAAGAAAAAGAAATAAAAGATGTACTAACTGGAAAGGCAGAAATAAAATTTTTTTTTTCACTGACAATATGACTATGTAGAAAATCCTAAGGATGTACAAAAGAGCTACCAGAAATAATAAATAAATTTAGCAAGATTTCAGGATACAAGTTCAAATAACAAAAAACAATTTTATTTCAATATACTACCAACAAACAATTTTAAATTAAAAATTTAAAACAATTCCATTCACAATAGCATAAGGATATGAAATACTTTGGAATAAATAAATGTTAACAAAACATGCACAATTGTTTAATGAAAACTAAAGACCATTTTTTTTTTTTGGTGTGGCTATTATCAAAAAGACCCTAAAGACCATTGATGAGAGAAATTAAGAGAGACTTAAATAAAGACTGATACCATCCTCTTGAATTGGTATGTTTCTGATGTCAATTCTTTCCAAATTGATTTATAGGTTCAACACAATCTCAATCAAAACCTTAGCAGGTTTTTTACAGCAACTGAAAAGCTTATCCTAAAATGTACATGGAAATGCAAAGGACCTAGAATAGGTACCGGCTTGACCTTTCTTGTCCAATATCCTCAGTGCCTAGAATTGTGCCTGGCAGATATTTATCTGTACCTTTTTTAATTTTGGCATCAATATTATGTTTATTTCAGAAAAAATGCATTTCTTCCTCTTCTACACACTGAAACAGTTCAAATATTGAACATGTGTTTAAACATTAAACACTGAAGTTACCCATGCCTTTAAATTTTGCTGGGACATTCATCTGTGAAACCATATGTGCTTGGTGCATGTGGGGATGGGGTGGGTAGGAAGCATTTTTACTTTCTTTTCCTATGGGTTAACTGGCATCCTTAGATTTTTCTATCTTGTTTTGGGTAACTTCTGGTAATACATTATTGAAAATTATCAATTTTACCTGCATATATGGATATTTACAGACAACCAAGCAAATTAGTGTTAAATTATTCTTTTAATAACGGGTACATGTGTAATTATGACCCCATTCTCTGATTTTGTATATCTGTGCTCTCTTTTAAAAATTATGGAATGAAAGAACTAGATCTCTGTATAATATGAATTTTTACTAGCTATTTCTGGAGGAACTAAAATAAAAACTACCTCAGGCATAATTCCTTTAAATTTTGAAATAATAGTTATTACTTTAACATGCATGTAAGTTGCTTACCAATGGCTTAATAAAAATACCTTTTTTGATCAATTTCTTGTTGCTGTTTAACATGTTTGTTCTCAAATTTACGAATATTTTCCACACCAATTTCTTCACAGAAGCGTTGACAAATATCATCTTCTACCTTTTAAATGATTTTAAAACAGGTTTAATAATTTTAGGAAACATATAGACGAATGCTTAAATATAAATTTTTCCCCCTTACATTTTTGTGGATTAGGTCAAAAACTAATTCTTCCAAACATTACTGTATTCTGAGGAGCCAGTGCTTTCTCTTCCTTTAATTCCATAAACTATGTCCATCTATTTTCAAATTTCTTATTCAGAAAACCAATAAAGAAAGCTTGAAATTGGCTTTATTAAGTGTTTTGTCTTTATGAAGTGTTTAATATCAAATTGGCAAGATTTAGTCACTTACTTTAGTCACACCAAAATATAACATTCTATGTAAACAGAGAAAACATTCTTTCATATGTGTAATGCTATAGCATCTTAGACAGTATAAAAACAAGAGGAATAAAGCATAGAATTAAGAACCAAAAAGATTTGTAATGGGCCAGCCCGTGGCTCACTCGGGAGAGTGTGGTGCTAATGACACCAAGGCCATGGGTTCAGATCCCATATAGAGATGGCCGGTTGGCTCACCTGGGAGAGCGTGGTGCTGACAACACCAAGTGAAGGGATAAGATCCCCTTACCAGTCATCTTTTTTGGGGAAGAAAAAAAAAATAGATTTGGAAAAACTAGAATGAGCTAAATCCAACAAAATAAAATTTAACTCAAATATTTTTAAAGCCCTGCATGTAAGTATAATTGTATGATGAGAGAGACCTGTCTCAACAGAAGGACATGTTAAAAACTTTTAGATTTTAGGTGAATGTACATGAAATATAAATGTGATAAGATTGATGCAGTAGATCAATCCAATTAGCACAAGTAGATAATCCAAATCATGGAAAGTTATACACACAGCGTTATATGCATGATTCTTTGTACTGATCAGAAAATATTTTGAGGGGCCGGCCCGGTGGCGCACTGCTACAGTGTGCCGCTTGGGAAGCGTGGTGGCGCTCCCGCCGAGGGTTCGGATCCCACATACAGATCGGCCGCTCACTGGCTGAGCGAGGAGCGGGGGCAACACCGAGGGTTGCGATCCCGTTGCCGGTCCCGGTCCAGTACGGGCGCGACACTGAGGGTTGCGATCCGTTGCCGGTCACGAAAAAAGACAAAAAGAAAAAAAAAAAAAAAAGAATAAAAGAAAATATTTTGACATTATGCTCTGTTCTGGGCATTGGCAAACAGCAGAGCATCCAGAGGATGATTACCAAAACTTGCCTTGAATCCATGGTAATGTGAAATGATAATAGAAATTAGGGATATTTAACCTGGAGAATAGATAATTAATGAGCAACGTGAGTCTGGTTTCAAATCATGTGATAAAAAGCAGAACTAAAAGCAATGGATGCAAGTTACAGAGTGATGATCTGACAAGTAACTCTTGGAGGATCAGAAATACCCAACGGTGGAATAAGTTAAATTAGAAATTTCCTGACACTTTTTAAGCAGAGGCTAGATAACCAAATCTTTCTTGCCCCAAGAGCCAAGCACCATGCCTGGCATTTAATAGATGTTAGAAAAAAATAACTATTGAGTAAATGAGGAATCTTAAAAGATAATGTAAATGACAGTTCTCTACCCCCTGGTGTCAAGGACAGTGGGATAAAGGAAGAGACTGTAATTTTGACAATGGGCAAGGAGAGGTTGGATGGAAGGCAGTGTGCACTTGTCATTGTCTCTTGAGATGGGCAATAGCGGTTCTCAAAAGATACAAGGAAACTAGTTTGGAAAACCAGTAAAACTTAGCTTACGTGTTGTCTCTGATAGGGCATGGTTAACTATCATCGTTTGCTTTAGCACATATTCAAGAAGTCCTAAATCTGGTATCTGGTCTAGAACTATATTCTATATGCCTTTCAGTAATAAACATAACATTTATGACCTTATCAATCTTTTCTTGAAATTCTTTAATTCTTTGTTGTCGTTCTTTGATTCCTTCGCTCAGCATAGAACACTGAGACTCAATATTTAATAGATCACTTTGTAGCTGAGGTTGTTCCTAATAACAAAAGAGAAAACATTTTTTAACGTGGTTGTTTTAGTTTTATATAGTAAAGCCAAAAACATGATAGGTGTCTTTTAGAATAAAAGAGGAATCCATGAGTTAAAATGAATTCAAGTACAGTTGGATAACAAGATTAAATACCATAAAAATAATTAAAGGACTATAATATTACCTCAATTATAAGGTAAAGTATCTAAAAACTACATGATGCTATCTATATAATTCCTGAAACTCTGCTCTAGTTCTAATTTCCATCAAATTTTGCGTAAGTCTGTAGTACCTGGTAAAAGGCAGCAAGGTCCTTCTTTTTAATCATCTCTAGTTCTCTCTGTGAATATTTGAGTCGTGTATGAGTTCCTCGTATTATAGTCTGTATTTCTTTCAAATCTGTTTCCTTGCGGAGTGTCTTCATTAAATCCTAAGAAAGAAGAGAAATATAAGAACATTTTACAGTAGAAAAGCACTTTCACTTTTCAAAGTAATAATTCACTGATTTTTTACATACAACTCCCCTCCTTCTGATAAGAGACCTGGCGTTTAAGTACATTAGCCACCTGGAGTAACCAAGATGCCATACGAACTTTTCGAAAAACCAATATACTTTCTAGCAGGAAAGAACTAGGTATGAAAAATGAAGAACAGGGAGTGGATGTGTTCCACTCAACACAGAGAAACGGCATCAGCAGGATCACGTGGTTCACTGCCTTACTTTCCAGGCATCCTTGTCTTTTTACTTGCCTCCCCTATTCCCTTCTCCCTTCACTCACCTTATTGCTAAAACAAATTAACTCCCTCGTATATGTTCTGTATTTTTACTCGAAGTCCTTAGGACATATAAGTATACGAAGTGTATATATATTCACCTATATATGTTGTTTTTCAGGCTTGTTTTGCAAATTTAGAATCATACGGATAGTGCTTTTCTGCATTTTGCTTTTCTCATTCAATTACTCACAAAAGTCAGCTGATAAAGCTCTAAATTCATTCTTTCAATGGGTGCATATTATTCCAGAGTGTGACTGTACCAAAATTATTCAATTACTCTCTTACTAATGGGCATTTACTTTGTTTCCAGGTTTTTGCCACCACAAATAATACTACAACCTACCTGTATGTATACCCTCAAGTTCTGATGCTTTTATTTCCATGCAATAAATTCCCTGGGTGAAATTCATGGGTCAAAAGTTTTGTTTAAAAAAAAAAAAAAAGATGACCGGTAAGGGGATCTTAGCCCTTGGCTTGGTGTTGTCAACACCACGCTCAGCCAGTGAGCTAACTGGCCATCCCTATATAGGATCCGAACCCGTGGCCTTAGTGTTATCAGCACCACACTCTCCTGAGTGAGCCACGGACCAGCCCTAGTATTCACGTTTTTATTTTAATAGCTGATACTCAATTGCTTTCCCAAAAGCTGTAACAATTCGCATTTCTATAAATAATGTGAGTACTCTTTTCCTTACATCTCCACCAGCAATAAGAATTTTATATACATATTTACTTTTCCATGTCTTATTGATAGGCATAAAGTAATCTTAATTTGTATTCCCCTGAGTAATATGTTCTATATCAAACATTTCTTCGTGTTTACTGGCCATGTAGATGTCTTCTTCATTGAACTATCTAACCCTATCCCTTGCCCAGGTGTTTCTATCACAATGTCTTTTTCATGTCAATTTGCAAAGAGTTCTTTAATAGGATACAGCCTATGGTCTTCATTTAAAACTTATATACATTTTAAAACAACCAGGCAAATTGTACACAATTTGATCACATTAAAATTCGAAACTTGGGCCGAGCCCGTGGCACACTAGGGAGAGTGC